TAAGAAATGGGGAATCTGTTTTTTTTGTTTTTAAATCATAAAATTATAACCAAACAAAGCAACGAATACACGACTATTTCAAGGAATTTCATATTAAATTGAGAAAAGAAAACCACAGTTCAATACAATGTGATGACAAAATAGAAGTTATCTATGTAATAGGTGAAGATATATCATCATATGCTCTCAATTGAGGCACCTTGCAGTCTTGTAAATATTGGAAAATGATAAATTTTTTTTCTTATTTCTACTTCTTCATGAGAACAGGAGATGAAATCTTATAACTGCCTGAGTTTCGATAGATGGTAAATTAATGTCGACTAAGAGAGCAATTTAGAATCTATGATAATTGACATTCTCATCTGTAAGAGTCGGAAGATGGGCTAGCTTGGCTGGAGGATTTGAAAGATTGTATTTACGAAAGAAAATTGTCATCAATGCTAGGCACAAATTTGGAGGGTTTAAAGGCTCTCTTTTCCTTGATCCATCAAGAATTTATTTCAACTTTTATATGCAAGTAAAAGTAAAGAGGTTGGAGCGGCAACCTCTCTGAGTGTTGATAGATTTTAGTTTATGCTCTTTATGAACTTGATTGCATGAATTAATTACATATATGATTTCCATAATTTTGGTTGGGCTTCAAAGCAATCAAAATATTTGTGCACAAAAATTTCTTTAAGATGTGCAACACAATGGAATGCTTTAAGTGTTTGATATTTTGAAGCAGGGTAAGGGTTTCTACTAATAGGTCCTGCCTGTATGTTTGTTGGCTCTAGAAGATGTTTATTTGTGGCATAGATGTCAATGGCGCAAAATAACGCGCGTCATGGCGCACGGCGCGGCGCACCTACGACGCCATGTGTATGGCGTGGTGCAAATATTCAAAATGGCGCGCGCTATTTGCGCCACATGCGCGCCATGGCGCACGGCGCAAAATAGCGCGCGTCATTGTTTTAAATTTTTTTTAATGTAATTATAAATATTTTTTATATTTATTATTTTAATTTTTTAGATAATATATTTTCTAATTTTTAAAGATTTTAAAAGTGTTAAGATAAATGTTAGATTGCATATTTTTATCTTCTTAATGCTATTTGCTTTCATTTAAATATATTTGAGTTGTATGAAAATTGACTATTTATTGGACTTGAAATTGTTAGAGACAGGTTAAAGAATAATTTCATTGGAATTTATTGTATGAAGGCATATATTTAATGGAGAACATGAAAGTTGAAGTGACTTTTTTTAGTAATGGACTTGATATGATTGTAACTGAAGTGATATCTTGATTGGACGTGGTATTTTCTTAGCATGTTAGTTAACTGGTAGATAGTTTTTAGAATGTAGAAGGATATGTTAGGATAGACAAACATTCCACAAAGTATAACAGGGTTATTTGTTTAAATAAATTGCTTGGGTGATTGCTTGAGTAAATTGCTTGGATTGTTATTTGTAATTCTTGTATAATTTGCGCCATATTCAAAATGGCGCGCGCCGCGCCGTGCGCTATGTGCAATGGCTCAAATGGGACCTTTGCGCCATGGTGCACCATTTGCCGTTAACAAGTATGATTGGTGGAAAGATAGCATAAAAACACACCAATGCACAAAGAAAAGAAAGAAAGAAAGGAAGATAAAAAAGAATCATAAACGCCTCACCTGACCCCTTTTGCTTTGTTAAGCTTTGTGCATATGGTATCTTTTAATTTGATTCGTGTATATTGCATTTTTTGTTGAAAGTTTCTCAAAATATTTAAGTTTTTTATATATTGTTTTACTTGTTAGAAGTTAGAACCACTTATGCTGTCTAATTTTTACTCATGAGATGCATATTGCTTACAGATTGATGCAGAGGATCAGAATTCTTTGGCTCGAAATCCTGCTGTTTATACGCTGACCATGAACTTGGCTGTTAGGGGCTTATACAGGTTGGTTCCGCAAGGCTGATCTGCAATATGTTCCTATCTTCATTATTATTTTTTACCTTGTTCTGAAGTTTTTTTTTGTTGATGCAATTAATAGGTATTGTGATGTAATCTCAAACTTGATGGGAAGTAGTTGCGCAAATTAGTTAACTCATTTGGAAGCAAATTATCTGACTTAAACAATTTTTTGCTGCTATTGATGCATGTTAGAAAATAAAAGGAATATAGTTTTCTTGGAACATGGAATGTGTTTCATGCAGTAGAAATTTAATCTGAAGTGAGATATTTAATAAGAAACAATATTAATTAGCTTTCATGCAAAGATTTCAGATTTATTTATGTGATAGATCTGAAATCACATGATAAACAATCCAGAACTAAACTATGGTGAGGGTAAACAAAAGATAAGAGTTCTTTGGTTAAATAATATGAACTCTTTTGAATCGGTGAGGTTTGCATGGCTCCTTCGGCTCATCTTTGAACATCACACTTGATACAATGTAGGACTTCAGATCCAATCAAAATTCATCCAAATTCAAAACCCAATAATATTGTTTGGAGAAAATACTTTTCTATTTGTTATGGAATTAAAACAAATTTCAAAAAAATCCAGAATAAAATTGGAATTAAGAAACTGAGAATTGATTCGATCATACCATTTTTTACACTATGATAAGTGACATCATATCATATGTTAAGTTTGTCATTGCTTTTTACCGCATGGCTGAACTGGGTCCTCAATTGTAAGTTATATGTTTTAATTCATGCGTTATGACACACCTATATAATTTATGTTACATCTAACATACCTTGCAGCTCCAAGGAAAAGATTGGGGTCCTGAGTCGTAACACATGTTATTGCGCCCTACAAGGATGCTAATTTTAAAAATTCAGAGCAAAAGCTTATGCATATATTGTCTTCAGCTATCAGACAGATCCTATAACTTTTGTTGGAAGGTGTGATTGATGGAATGATCATGTCTTACTATCAAATTAATCTGAGCTGAACATGTGATACACATCAATGACCATGAAACTAATAGTGTTACTTAAAATACCCAAGTAGAACTCGAATAAAAAGATGCAATACAATAATTTTGCATTTCTGAAGACAGTTTGTAGACTTTGAGCTACATCTCATATTGTCAACATGTTCAAAAGTAATATGTAGGTAGTTGAGAACAAATTACTACTCGAAGAACTGTATGTTTCATGTGTTTCAGTTATGTTGTAACTACATAATTGCTCTTGTTGTGAGCAATTAATTGTAGAGTATAGTATTATTCTTCTATGAACTATTATTTGTTTGCCTCCTAGTATATTGCTCAGAAATTGATTTTAAAGTTAAAACTTGGAAGTCATTTATTCTTCTGTTTTTGTTTTGTGCTGAAGCACTATCATTTTGTTTTTCAAGCACTAAAGCTAGTGATTAATTTTAGGATGGGAGTAATTCTTGGCCATTTAGGGGTTTCTTGCTCAAATGACCAGGCAGAGGATGACACAATTTTAGTGCTTTTGGGGATGTTTTGGCCGCTTCTTGAAAAACTCTTCAGCTCTCCTCATATGGAGAATAGTATTTTGTCGGCAGCTGCATGCCGTTGTCTTTCTCAGGCAATCCATTCTTCTGGTACTGGTTTCATCATTATAATCTGCACTAACAGAAGGCTTGGTTTTTGTATATAACTTTCTGAATAATTTTAATAATCATTTCGTGAGTTTTTTTATTTATTGTTTTCTTCCTTTTACAGGTGAACACTATCACATCTTACTGCCAAAAGTACTCGATTGGTTGTCTGCCAACTTTTTGTTATTTCAGAACCATGAATGCTATCTAAGAACAGGTATTGTTACATTATAATTGATGGTATTAACAATCTTTAAAGTATATTTGTATGGATCATGGAATACTGAAGGTAGTAGGTCCCTGCAATTTTTTTGTGGTTGAATGAACGGAATGGGTTAAATGTTTTTATATTTTAGATAAAGCAAAAATATCCTTGCATGCTTTAGTGTCGCTTGTGATTGGTTTACTTTTCTACTTTAAATTAAATAAATGAAACTGTATCTTATCATGAAACGTTCCACCAAAGTGAATATGTACTTGTTATTTGTCATACTTGTCACCTCTCTCTCTATATATATATTAGAATTTTAGCATACCATTAACAAATGCATTTATTATTACTTCTTTATTTTGTATGATCCATATGTAATGCATGTGTAAATTATAAGCACTACTTTACACTCAGATGTTCAATGCACTTCTATATATTAACACATTGATGTAGGACTACGATACTTGCAAATGATTTTATTAAGAAATTGCACAAATTCTTGATTAGAGAAATAACAAAGAAACTTATTAGCAAATAAAACAACGAATCAAAACGTGAGAGGGGTCACTTTCGTTTAGGCTAAGTTGCACATCAAAAAGATTTGAATATTCAAAATAACATAGAAAATAACATTATGCCCAAATAATAGTTTTCAACAAAATCCCTAGTCTAACAATGAGATTAGTAAACAAATGAATGCGCTCAAATTCCTACATTTACTAAGCTTAGCAGAATCGGCGAACACGTCCTTCGTCACTACAATCACATCACATGAAAGGGTTAGACTTAAGAAATATAAGAGGAAGAGTAGAAAACCTCCGTCAAGGATCGGTGGCAATCCTCCACTCGACGATCTCAATTTGTTCTTCATTCTCCACCAAGGTGTCCAAGATGCGCTCTATGTAGTCCTCAACCGTGTGATCAATCCTCGGGTTGACGTCGAAGAAGGTTGAATGGAGAATGTGCACAAAATCGTGTTCGTCATACGCAAGTCCGTAGTCAGTGTTAGGATCGGCCATTCATGGATGCTAGGTGACGATGTCTTCCCAAAGATTGTTAGTACTCTTGGACGTTGTTGAAGAGAAAGAAGTTTCTCTTCAACTTGGCATAGAGGTGGAGAGTTATGGCCGGCCAAGGGAGAGGGTTGGGAGAGGAGAGGTTTGGTGTAAAAGGGGAAGAACAATTGATAAATCTGAAATAAATTTCAGATTCTTAATTGTGAGCGATTAGAGGAATTAAGTTTGAAATTAATCTCAAGAAGGGAAGTGGGGTTAATGAGATAATTTAGGTGTTGTGGACCTTAGGGAAAATCGGCCAAATAGGTGAGTGGGAGCAGAGAAACGTTTCCAATAGTGGGTTTAGGTGATTTGGAAATAAATCCAAGGATTTATTCATGTGTCCGGCGGCATCATTGGTCTAGGAGGGATTTGGGGTTTATTAATTTGGGTTTAAGAAATAGGAAATGTTTAATTAAATCCTATTCAAATTTGAAATTCAAACGATTCAATTTTGGGAACTTTTCTAAAATAAATTTCTTAACTTAGGAAAGAAAATTTCAACTTCAAATTGCTTTGAGATTTGAAACTTAAATATTTCCAAATTAAGAATATTCATTTTTGGCTAGGATTCATGTATGGATTTGAATTATGGAGGGAAGGGGAAGGAGAGGAGGCCGGCGGTTTGGTGGGTTGGAGGGGGAAATTTTAGTGGGGGTGAAGAGGTGTTTCGTCGGATGAGGTGGAGATGGATTGAAGTTACCCGTGGAAAGGGGGGAGTTTTATGGTGGTCGGCGGCTTGGAGATGATGGACAAGAAAGATAAATAAAGAAGAGAAACCACGAACCCGGTTGTCTCCAAGGTTGGTGGGTGATCCAAAATTCCCTCTCCAAGGGATCTCGCTCTCTCTCCAAGCATTCTCAAGATCTCTCAAGCACTCAAGCAATAGCACAAAAATGTTTTATCATTCAATCATTCATTTTCAAAGAGAAACATAGGGGCTATAAATAGCCTCGTACATAAGACTCAAAATAAGAAAGATGACAATGCCCTCAGGGCTTATATATGACCTCCCTTAAGTAAGGGATAAAAACGGAAAACAATTACAACATAAATAATAAAAGAAAAAATAACATAATAAAAGACAAATACATGAAATGACTCAAAACTATATCGACTCGTTCGTGGCCGTAGACCGACGGCCACGTCTCTACTGCACTTTTCATGCTCTGATGTCCCCATCACACATCCACAAAAATGTAAAAAAAGGGGAAAAAAGGAATTATCTGATTACTCTTATCGCTCAAGAAAGGTTAACCCTTGAGCCTCTTCAATATGATAAGAAACTATAGAGGTGAAAAAGGGTCGGTTGGCTATGTATGCCATGCACATATTTTTCATGTATGCCATGCACATATTTTAATTGATTGGTGCTATATGGTTATCAAGACATATGACAGATATAATTTATGGATGATATGGGGTTGTTTTTTCGGTCGATCCTCTTTAAAAAAAAAAGAGAAAATATAAAGTTATTTTTCCTGTGATAGATTAAGGTTTTTTTTTTTTTTGAAGTAAGATGTATCTTGATGTTATATAAGGATTTCTTTTGAGTCAGGGTCAAGAGTTCTTGTGGGCATAAGCCCTTCTAGCAAATTAATTATTTTGCTCTTAGGAGAGCATTCTTGATCAAGGAGGTAACTTAAACTCAAATTTTGTCTCAGATTTTGCATTTAGGTCTAAAGTTATTTCAATTGGGAATGATTAGGGGAATTGAGGTAGAGCCAATCAATACATGGTTCCATCATCCCATGTGTAACTGCAGAGATAGTTTTCCAACATCAGTGGGTTGTAGGCCATAAAATCTATGGAATCTAATTAGCAGTTATTTTTTGCCTACTCATAAGTATCTTGAGCAAACTATGATGAAAATGTGTGGAAAACTTAGTTTTTGGGATTGACATTTTGCTTTCAGTTCAATGATGAAAATGTGCGGAAGTCTCATTTGTTTGCAATTAGGTGGATGTACTAGTTCTCATTGAATAGTTCAGTGATGCAACATTTTGCTTGCAATTCAAAATTGTTGGGCATGATTGATAAGACCTTATAGGGATAGCATGATGATAGGCTGTTTGTGGTTTTTTTTATAGCTGTTACAAAATGCAAAGCTTCGTGTTGTATCTTACACACACTTTTAATGCATCTAAAGATGGTTTAATTTTTCTACGGTATAAGGCCTATTTTAATACAAGTGCAAGTGTTGTGTCAAGTAATATACTAATAAGAAGAGTGTCGATTGTAACACCCTACGATACCCGTTACCAGTAACGTAGAGTGCCACAGACAAAAAGATCACATTCATTCTTTACTTTTATCATTTCACGTTAATATCATAGTTGAATAAAACAACCACCAACAATTGCATTTAATAAACACACTGAAGCATATATTTATTCCAAAGCTCATCACATAAATATGTACAAAGCCACTAAGAGAATCCAAAAGAGTACAACATTGAATAGTCTACATATTTCAAATATAAACTCACAAACAATGTTAAATAGAAGAATATAAAGTGAAATAAACTTGAACCTATTCTGCTTACAATTTTTCCTTTCCTTGCTTTGTATAATAGTCAACATAAAATAGCTGGTGGACTATGAGACTCCATAAGTTATTTAAATTAAATAACAGTTAAATTTCATTATTATTTAACTTACAATATTGAAATCATAAATGAATCAAACTTGCCATTATTTATAAAACAACATAAAATCATATTTAGCATTAAACTTTACTTCCTTTGAAGTCTATACTGAATATTAATATTTGTCTTTTAAAGATTTGACTAAACTTTCATATGAATGTTCAATGGAGCCCAGATAAACCTAATATTATTGCCATTGAATTACATAGAGATCCCTTTTATCTTTTTTGGAGTCCATTTTGCCTCACTTTCTATGTAGATATCTTGTCTTTGTGGTACCTTTTGCTTCACATATAATACAAGTATCATATTTGGGGTCCCTTTTGCCCCACCCATGATTATAGGTATCATATTATTTTTATAACAAATCTTTACTTATTTTTTCGATATTCAATAGATTTCATAACATAGTAATTCATACTTGACTTGTCATATATAAAATTTCATAAGAATCTGTCTATTGCTATGCTTACATACAAGGATGTGTTAACAACATTAAATTTAATGAGCTCTTTTCAAATTATTATCAACTAGAAAAACATTGAACCAATCATAATAAATCTTATTTTAAACTTCAATGGATTAAAAAGGCGTTTGAGGCGGACGCCTCGAGGCGCGCCTTGAATCGAGGCGGAGGTTTGGATAACTGAGGCCTAAGCCTCGAACGTTCGGGCGAGGCTTACGCCTTTTTTCACAGAGGCATACGCCTCAAGCCTTGAGGCGCCGAGGCGCATCAAGGCAACGCCTCGAAAGGGAGAAAGTTACCTTCACAGCCAGCGAGCTCCCATTGTTTCTTCCGATCAAAATGTCGTAACTTATGATCCGATAGGAAGGGAAAGTCATCGAAGGAGCGAAGTCAAACAACCACGAAGGAGCCAAAGAAGCGACGTGTGCAATCTCTACACGTCCTGTGAAGCAACGAAGCCGAATAGCAAGGACGAAAAGAGAAGATGAAAGGCAAACCTTAGATGCGGCTAAATTATTATTAATTTAAAATATTAATAATTAAGCAAATTAATTAAATAATTAATAGTATAATTAGTGCATAAATTAATTATCTAATTTAACTTAATTGGCTAATTAGTAATATAATTATTAATTAAATATTAATATAATTAGCCTAGTTAATATAAATTACATATTATGAAAAGACTTTCCTTTTCAAAGATAAACATCAACGATATATTCTTTCAAGTTCATAATTGACTTAATATTTTGTCATTTTTTATCATTATTTATAATTTCACATTATCTTATTTTTACCATTTTGAGACTTACGATCCGCCTTGAGGCTTACGCCTCGC